GTGAGGATATATGGTTGTTTTTTAACAGATCAGTTGCCACACCCAAAGCACAGAACTTTCCAGAAGGAGCATCATCTTCTTTCATTCTGTACTCAGCCCTGATCGTCTAAGACCTGTGAAGATTACAGGGCCTCTTTGACCAACGACTCCCCTTACTCTGAGTGTTGTCTCAAATACATGATTTCATTTCAGTCTACTTTATTGGTGTAATTTAAGCTAGGATACTATTATACCCATAAATTTATCTGGGAAAGCTGAGCCTAAGGACATAATTTCTCCTTTATTTATGCTTAGAATATGTGCTCGTCTTTAGAATATGTGCTATAACCAGAAATAGGACATCTCTATCAAGAGTAAAAAAAATCATAAAGGATGAAATAATCATAACATCTTGATCAAAAAATGCATTCGGGGAGGAAAAGGGAAATATTTTAATAAATATTTGTTGATTTTCACACATTTTACCCATTGCTGTTTGAAATGTCTTGCTTAATCTTACTTGATTTCACTAAAATATTCAGTAACTAGAAGAAGATCTGGTTCCTGTACTCAATCTCAGAATACATTTTGCAAAATTAATTAGAAACTAGCTACTGTGACTTGGTGAAACTAGGTTATATTTGCTGAACTTGAAATGGGAGATTTTCTTTTGTTTTGTTTAAGCAAAATTCAGGTGATTCAATAAACACCACTTAACTGGGGCAGACTTGATTAGGGAAGTTGCTGAATTGGGAAACCAATTAAGTCTAATGATAATTAGCATGCGCTGCTGCTTAATTGGGATAGGTGGTCCATTGAGTTGGTATCACTGTAGGTAATTAAATGATGCTCTTGGAGGTTAAGAGAGAGTCTTCTTGATGCTTGCAAGATTGACGGCAATTTATTTTCTCTAGATCATGTTATTGCTGGTTAAAAAGACTCGATTTCTAAATGATGCCTTCCGAAATTCTACTTGCTTTGAAAGGATCTCTGTCACTCACTCACACACACACACACACACACACGTACATGCATGCATGCATGCACACATACATATCTCCCTCTGGATGAATGGGAAATGAAGGAGTATAAGATCCAGAGAGTTTTGATGATTTACTTGGTGTGGCTACCGTTTAATGATCAGGTAGAAGATAGGCCTCAGGATTCCGCTGTGGAGACCCACCACAGGAATGTTCTGGAATGTTCACTCACAGAGCTGAGTGGATCCATGGGAAGTGCCTTCCTGGGAATCCAGGGACTAGTTACGGCTCTGCTGCTGCTACAAGGAGATAAGATACTGACCTTCCTTTATTTTATTAAATAAAGAGGTGGGACTAAGTAATCTCTAAGACCGCTTCTAGCCATAAAAACAAAAGTATCTCAATTCAGTTGTTTTATTTAAATATTGTTAGTGGGGAGATAATCTTCACTTTAAACTTGCATAAAGCCTGCATTAGGCCAGGTCACTGGCAAAAAGCAATGATCTGTAGCTCCACATTAAAAAAAAAAAAGTGTTTGTATGAGATGTCCCTGGGTGCTTTGTGAAAGGGGTCAGGAGGGAAGCAGGGAGGATATTCCTGGGATGATTTTGGTCAATGCTACTTTAAACAACCTAAAACCACGGAAGGGTGTAGAAAATGCAGGAGATGCTCCTGAGTCTGGACAGTCTGAAAAATATCTGGAAGTGACAACGTGAAGGACGGGGCTCTCGGAAGGAAAAAGGGTATGAGCCAATAATGTACAGTCCTGGGTCTACGGGGTCCGGGCCACAAGAGAGTTGGGAACTTTGGACATGTGTGTGGGAAAGATGGCACTGGAGAGATCAGGTGGTCCAGCGTCTTCTCATGGGTCAGACATGGCCTGAGTAGTAGTCGTGAGACCTACTGGTAAAACCTGATTTATTTTGACCTGGATATAATGAAGAATTGGATCAAAAACAAGTTTCATCTGTCTTTTTCTCATAAGAAATCAGCATAATCCTGAGTGCTTGAGCCAAGATACTCATAGTTGAAATCCAATGATTGCATAATGTGCCAGAGCCACACTCCCCTGGCTTCCACTTATTTATTTATTTTTCTTCTTCTTCTTTCCGACTTTGTCTCTCCAGGCCCATCACTTGCCTGTTCCCTGAAAGGAACATCACCATTGATTCTAGATCACGGATGACTCATGCCTGTGTTTGGAATACTCTCCAGGTCTGCAGAGTCCTACACTAGCTCTTGAACTTGCAGGCTGCTTTCAAAGCGTCGTTGACTTGCCAACTGTAAATGCTGTCTAAATATTTATTTTCAAGCCACTGTGTAGATACATATTATAGAAATATATGTAAACAGACCTAGATTTATGCACACATAAAGGTAAAGAGGAGGATATCGCTTATATCTTTAAATAAAATGATAGGTACTTGAAAATCTGTTTAGTTTTGGAAATTTCTTTTGCTTCACCTGAGTCATATCCCAGTTTTAATGCTACCGAAAGGATACATTTAAGTGACTTCACCCTTCATTCCTCTTTGCGTTGTCATTACACGCAGGCTTGTAAAAAGTCAGTGAAACATTTCCAACTACAGTTTGAAGGAATGCTTGCGATTTATTTAATAAATAAACCATCAAACAAATGGACCTTAAATTGCCTGTGGACTGCTTCAAGTTCAGAAGGTACTGCCCTCGTGAGAGAGTTATCAATGCTCATGCATTTAATAAGAGTCTGATGACAGTGGCCCAGGGCTGAAATGGCACACATTCCATGTGCCATTGCATAATTTGCCTATTTTTTTTTATATATTTTGCAAATATAAAATCAACTTCTAATGTTAACTGAGCTTTATCTTAGGACTTATTCTTTTATTTCCTCAGATGGCTCTTGAATAAAGATGACTTTGGTGGATAGACTTTAAGGAAAGAAAGAGCTATCCATCTGGAATTAAGAGGTTGGTGGCAGTGAACCAACATTATCTCTTAAGCTTGCTCTTCACTGCCGTTTGGGGAGTGCAGTCAGGCGCACACGGGGAGCAGGACTTTGGGACAACTGCAATGAGCTCTCCCCCCAACTGCCTTTACTGGGGGGCAGAGCAGTTCACTGAAGCTCCAGTTTTGATGAACTTTGTACTCTGAATGCTTTACTGCTTGATTACAGATGTGCTCATGCTTGAAGGCAGAGCACCAACGGGGTTCATAATAATACACAGAGAGATCCATTGGAGGAGCTTTGTGTAATCATTTTTCGGGAATATGATTTTGTTTGAGAAGTTATTAGAGGCCGGAATGACAACTTCTCTGTGACTCCCTGGTAGGTTTTCTGAATCAGTTCATGTGGAAATCAAATTGCACCTGAGCAAATATTGAAGGGTGTAGCAAAAGGAAGGAATGGCTTTCATTTTGCAACCACAAATATTACAATAGCCTATGCACATATTTTAGGAAAACATTTTTTTTTTCATGTGAAGTCACTTTGCATGAAATTGGAGGACAAATGTTGGTGATGTGGCTCATCCGAGTTGTTCTTTCACAGTTATAGCCTCCAGGAGGATTAGGATGTAACTGCTCACAGGAAAATAAATGGGAGGAAGAGATTCATCTGACTCGTCACCTAATTGCATTACTGGTGTCATTTTATACCATGAGGGTAAGTGGAAAAACTAATCTAGGAATTGATAAAAGCACTCCAAATCTTACTGTAAAGTAGATGATAATCATAAAATAAGGCCAATATTTAAAAACTGATAGCACTAATAAAAGGGACATTTGTAGAGTGTTTAACGTTCCAGGCACTGTTCTGAGAGCCGCACATGGATTCTGTGCTGTATTGCACATTTCTATGGGTTAGGTACAATTATTGAATCATTGAACGCCAGGAAAGGGGACCGTGGAGAGAGCCAGTGTCATGTTCAATGTTGTGCACACGTTGGGGTAGAATTGGAGTCCACGCAGAGGCTGTCTGACTCTGAAGACCATTCTCTCAGCTGTATGTGACACACCTCCCTAGACACAATGTGGGTCAGCTGAGCCTCTATAGGAGGAAGAGGACATCAGTGGCCAGATGACCAAGCTGTGGGCACTAGGATTGCACTGAAACAAGCTTCCAAAAGCACAAACGTCTCAGTGCGTTCTCCGGGTGGTGAGGCCAGCTGAATGGAGTGGTCTCCAGATATCTGCAGGGAGACACTGGGGGAGAAAGCCCCCTGTGGAGTCACAGGCCCCATCTGTCCATAGTGACAACATGGTTTGGATACACATCCCCAAAGGCCACGTGCTGAAGTCATGCCCCCCACCCGTGGCAATACCGGGAGGTGGTGGAACCTTTAAGATACAGGGAGAGAGGGAGGAAGTTAGGTCACGGGCTGCCCTGGAGGGGACATGGCAACCAAGCCCTTTCCTCTCTCCCTTCCTGCTCCCTGGCTGCCATGAGGTGAGCATCTTCCCCTGCCTCCCTCCACCATCAGGTACTGTTTCTCCACAGCCCCAAAGGCAGAGGGGGTCAGAGGGACAAGTGAGCCTGCACTGAGACCTCTGAAACTGTGAGCTGAAAGCAACCTTTCTTCTTTTTAAGTTGAGTTTTCTGAGACATTTGTTATAATAGCAGAAAACTGATTACCCAAATTTATCAATGCCTACTTCCACATCAGTAAAATGGTGATTAGAAATAAACATTTCAAATATTTTGAAGGAGAACACAGTACAGATAATACCCCTTAGCTGTGTGCTTAGCTCAGGGTTTGGCATCTAATATGCCCCCAGTTCGTAGTATATGTCACTATTGCTAATTAAAAGCATTTGAGCAACAACAACAACAACAACAACAACATCAACTAGATCTTAGAATTCCTACTTCATGTGCCATTTCTCATTTTTCTCTTCATTTTTTTCTCTATTTCTTCTTTTATATTTGTACCCCTTTCCTATGGACCTTATTAAGGGGAGAAGTCCTTTTCAGAATATATTAAAAATATATAACATAAGGTTTTAACTTTTCAGGAAGAAAGGAAGGTGGTTGAAGTCTACTTAGAAATGAAGGAGTAAAGAGAGAATGAGTCAAGATAAACAATTTAGGGGCATGAAAAGTGTATATTTGGGGGCGGTGATAAGTTGGATTAATAAGTTAGAAATATATATGGGCAAAGAGAGAGAGGGAACTTCCAACACCACAGAAGGAGTCTGCCTGGGAAGGATTCCACAGGGAGAGGGTGATGCGAGCTAAGCCGATAACAAGGGAAATGTCACTATTTTAGAATCCAGATTCAAAGGGCATCCAGGAGCACAGGGCAGGTGATGGCATTTGCAAACGCTGCCTTAAGCCGTAGCTAAGTCCGGGAAAGACTGTCCACACCACTGACTTTACATTTTCAAAAAAATAAAATTTAAGCCAAATTTTGGTTTTCCATTGAAAACTGATAAGGCCTACCTAGGAGTGTCATCCACTGAAGGAAGCCTTGAGGAACATAGTGAAACGGCGTGGTGGGGCCTGGAGAGGCCTAGGTTTCCATCTCTCCTGGAGCCTCTGTCTCCCTAGCTATGGCATGCACCCACAGGTTGCTGCGTATGTTGTAATAACGTGTAAAGGCTTGGCAAGGTTAGCCGGTGGTCCTCAGCCCACTACCGTTAAGGCATGATCAGAGATGAAATGATGCCCACGCCTCTCTCTTCAGATGAGGCCCTTCTGTGCATTGTGGACTTTGAGAACAACTGGCCCAACACAAAATGTTTTAACATCTAATTGGGGTCAGTAGAATGTGGATATGGTCATTATCATTATGTGACAAGCTCTAAGCGCTTCGATCTGGGGACAAAGCAAAGTCCATTTTCATCCAGAAGAACTCAAGTATGATAAGAATTACTGGAAACCCTCGTTGTGTACAACTATGAGCTTCTCAAACTTAATTGTACTGAAACACCTGGAGGATTTTTGGTTTGTTTGTCTTTTAAACTAAAAACAAGGGCTCCAAAGATCCATCCTTGCCTACGTTTGTTATCTTCTCTTTTAAAAACTTTTAAAAATAATAGCCATGTGTGCATATGAAATAAGGTATCAGTGTGGTTTTGATTTTCATTTTCCTAATGATTCGTGATGTTGAGCATATTTTCTTATGTTTATTGACCATTGTATGTATTTTTCTGGAGAAATATCTGCTTAGGTCTTTTTCCCATTATTCAATAAGGTTATAAGGTTGCTTTTTTTTTGTTTTGTTTTGTTTTTTGTGTTTTTTATTTTTATTTTTATTTTTGCTGTTGAATTGTAGAAACTCTTTAAATTTTCTGAACACTAACCTTATCAGGTAATCAGATGCATAGTCAGCAAATATTTTTTTCCCATTCTACAGGTTGTCTTGCCACCTGATAATTATGTCCATCAGTACACAAAAGTTTTCAATTTTGATAAAGTCCCAATTATTCATGTGTTGCCTATGATTTGGGTGTCATATCTGAGAAATCAATGTCATGGAGGTTTTCCCCTATGTTTTCCTTGAAGTCTTAAGTCGTTTTAGCTCTTAATTTAGACTTTTGACTCATTTTGAGTTATTTTTGTGTGTGTGTGATTTTAAATGAGGGTAAAATTCACTCTTTTCCATGCAGATATCCACTTTTCCCAACACCATTTGTTGAAAAGACTTTTTCCTTTAGAATGGTTCTGGCATATTTTGGTAGAAAATCGTTTGACCACGTATGTGAGGGTTTATTTCTGGGTTTCATTCTAATCTTTTGGTTGAAGTTTCTCTCTTTATTCCAGTACTAGACTGTTTTGCTTGAGGTGTAGTGAGCACTGCACTATGTAGTGAGTTTTGAAAAATCACAAAGTATGAGATCTTCAAATTTGCCCTTCATTTTAAAGAATGTCTTTGTTATTCAGGGTTGCTTGAAATGTCAAGAATTGGGGGATTTTTAAAATGTCTGAAAAAAATGTTGGAATTTTGCACTGAGTCTATAGATTGCTTCAGGTGTTATCAACATCTTTAAAATATTAAGATATTAATCAGTAAACATAGATAGTAAACATATCCATTTATTTGTATCTTTAATTTTCTTCAGCAACATTTCATGGATTTCATTATGTATCTTTTGTCTTCTTGATTCATTTTAAGTATTTCATTCTTTGTGATGCTATTACAAATGGAATTGTTTTCTTAATTTCCTTTTTGGACTATATGTTATAGTATAAAAATGCCATTGATTTTTGTGTGCTTTAGTAGGTGAAAACTGTTGAATTCTTTAATTAGCTCTAGTAATCATAAGTATGTGTGTGTATATGCATCTGTGTATAATCTTTAGTGTATTATTTTAAATTTTTTATTGGTG